GGGAGCCCGATGCGGGACTCGATCCCGGGACTCCAGGATCATGACCTGAGCCGAAGGCAGTCGCTTAACCAACTGAGCCACCCAGGCGCCCCATTCACCAGTGAATTTAAATTTGTTTTATGTTTCATTTTGAAAAAAATTTAAAGTAATAGTACTATACCTAAATTGGACGTTTTGTCACATTTCGTCCAAGTCTTTTCCCATTTACTTACTTATTTATTACTAAGGTAATCTCTACACCCCACGTAGGGCTCTAACTCACGACCCCAAGATCAAGAGTCAAACGCTCTTCTGAGTGAGCCAGCCAGGCACCCCTCTTTTTCCTTTTATAACAGCAATCAAATGTGGCAGGTACAGCTGTCAGCCCAAGTGCACCCCTCGTTTCTGTCCTTGGAACCCCAGGGCAATCACTAGGCTTGCAGTCTTTTTTTTTCAAGATTTTATTCATTTATTTGAGACAGAGAGATAGAGTGCGAGCAGGGGGAGGGGCAGAGGGAGAGGGACAAACAGACTCCCCACTGAGTGGGGAGCTGGACGCAGGGCTCGATCCCAGGACCAGAGATCATGCGCCAAAGTCAGACGCTCAACCAGCTGAGCCACCCAGGTACCCCTGCTTGCAGTCTCTTTTTATATTTTAAAATACAAATACCAATAATCTACACATAGTAGATAACATTGTTTTATACGTTTAAAATGTTCAGCCAGATGGTATCTTACTGTTTTATTGTTCTGTAATTTGTGTTTTTCCACTTAAACATTGATTATGACACCTGTTTTGATACACACACAGTCTCTCTTTTTGTTGCTCCTCTTCACTGTTGCAGATTATTTCATGATAGGAATACATCACATTGATTCATTCTCTTGGTGTAGACATTATTAAGAATAACATGTCACTAGACATCCTTTCATAGTCCTTCTAGGCTTCTGTGTGTGTGTTTCTCAAGAAGCGAATGTTCAAGGTTGTCGAATATAGTTTTGTTATTACTGGATACTAACTGGTCAGTATTGCGAGTTCGGACTAAGAGCGCACCAATTTACCCTCTCCCAGCGCCGAATGGAAGTCTCTGCTACACGTCAGTATTTGATGTGGGCACGCTTTCTAATATTTGCTGGTTTTCTTGAATAATCCTAGAATGAAGGCAACATTATATAATGATGATTGGTGGGTTCGATTTTCAGAATTGGTTGTTTTTAGGTGAACTTAAGAGTGAAGAGTGATAAATCATCTAACCGGGACTCCTACCAAATATAGTTCACTCTGCATCTGTAATGAGATTACATTCTGCTGGTTTTCCTTGCCAATTTTTTTTTTTTTTTCAAGAGTATCATTAGAGCCAAAAATGAAGTTTTAAAGGCGCTAGGGTCTTTTCTGGGCTGGGGGTGGGAGGCGGGGAAGAGAAGCTAAAGCATTACCATCCTCTGTACCTGTGGGCCAGTTTTACTTGGAGTGAATTTATTTCTGGAACTCTTTTCCCAACTGTTTATCTGAGAATCATTAAATGTGTTGCAAGTGAACTATGAAATGATTAGATGTTAATGTGGCAAAGAAAGTGAGAATTCTCTCTTAGCTCAGAAATAGATACATTTGATTTAATATACTAAGTTGTTAATGCATGACTCTGTGCTTTTGAATTACATGGTTCAAAAGTACTTTTCACTTGTACGGTGTTACTTACATTGAGGTGAATTCCCTGACGTTTGATCAACATATCATTATTTAGGGTCCAGCCTTTCTGTCTGCCTGTCTGTCCGTCTCTCTTTGGTAAAATGCCTTCTTTGCTTCTTTTTCCCTTTAAAAAAGTCCAATTCCTCATATATGCAATCTTCACTTTTCAGAAAAGCAAGAGGAAAGGGCATGAATACACAAATATTAAGTATTCTCTAACGGACCAGACAAGTGGAGATCAGAGTCCCCTCCCGCCTTGTACCCCAACACCGTCTTGTGCAGAGTAAGTAATAATGAAGGACATTCTTGCTACCTGAACACAATCCTATAGAAAAGCTTAAAAAACAGCAGGTCTTTGCAGCACACGCCTGTCATTATTATTGCCCAGCTGATTAGTGAGTGTGTCAGTGGCTTTCTGAACTAAATTTTAATTCACCTAAACCAAAGGCCGATTGGTACACTATTTGTGATTATGGGAGGTTATCGGTATATCAGGTGGTGGTTCTCTAAGAAGAATCTTCATTTTCCTTTTTATGGGGTGGGGATAACTTCTGTTGTTAATGATAGACAACAAAAGTGGGTAACACCCCTTTGGTTAAGACTCTTTGCTAAGTAAAAGTAAATAAGTTGACCATTAATGTCTCGACACCGTCATGATCTGTTAATTTTCTGGTCAACAGAGAACAGACATCTACTTTGAGCCTTTAAACCAAGAGTCTGCAAACTACAGCCCCCGGGACAGATTCTGGCCATGCCCTGTTTTTGTACAGCTCATGAATGGTTTTTAAGGTGTTATATTTAAAAAAAATGAAAATAAAAACGGCAGCACAGAGAATATTATATGCCAGAGACTGAGTATGGCCTGCAGCGACTAAACTATTTACCCTCTGATCCTTTTCAGAAGAACTTTGCCAACCCCTTGTTTAAGCTAAAACATGTGTTAGGAGAACATTTGTTAAATCGATTATGTGAACCGCAGTCGTAAATTATTGTTTTTCTCTATATTCTAAGGTAGTCTGTGGTATAACATTTACTTTTTATTTTCCCCCAAGAGTCTTATCTCTGTTTGCTTCTGATGTGGATTTTTAAAGCCCTGCTGACTTTAATACTCTATATACACGTTTTAGATAGCAAATATGAGGCTTGTATTTACATTTGGCTTCTAGTTAACATTGAAATGAAATTATACAGTAAAAGTATTCTCTCCACCAAGCTGCCTCTTCCTTCTGCCTGCTTTTTCCTTTCCCGGTGGACTGATGGGGAAAGTTGGTATTTTAAATTGCTATCTGCAGTCATTTGCCCTGGCACCAGCTCGTCAGGGCTCTGAGTCCTGGCCAGAGAGCGTTCCCCGAATATTGGCAGAGCTCATGAACTCTGACGACTCCCTTATTGCCAGTGGCCTCGCCGTGCGGCAGGTTCTCTGCCTCTCCACTCCCACCATGTTCCTTACAGGGTGTAACGCAGGATACCCCGGACCCCAAGCCCCTTCTTGTTCCTCTCAGGGTGGCATCTATGGCTGCCGGGTCCCCTGTCCCCACAAGACTGCTCTGATCTCCACTCCCTGCTCAGCAGAATGGAGTCTGGCCTCGGATGCACTGGCCCTCCATCCCAGGGCCCTGCACCACCACTGAGCTTCACCCTCATTGTTCCCCTTCATGTAGCTGGGTTCGGGGCTACATGGGTCTGTGGGTCTCACTGCTCCTGCACTTTCCTTCCTTGGACCTCTTGCCCATTAGGATCCCTCTGCGTGAAATGAATACCTGTCCTTTCTATGTGCTCACGTCTCACCGGCTTGAAGGTCTTACTCAAAGGCCTCATCATATAGGCCTCCTTTGCTCTGCCCGCCAGAAAAAAGGCTCGCTTTCCTCCAACCCCAGAGAGCACGGGGACTCGAGGCTCTTACTCCACTTTGAGCTTGATATTGCTGTATGTTTTATGTCTTACAGCCCGTCCTAGAACGCAGCTCCTGGGGCCTGTGTCTGCACCGTATCGGGTCCTCAAAGAATGGAGTATGTGCTTTATAAATACCGTGCGAGCTTGGACAGCATGGTCGGCGTTTTTATTCATGTTTTCTTTCCTTTCTTTTTTTTTTTTTTTCTTCTCAGAATGAGAGAAGATAATGCTAGAGTCTATGAAAACGTGGGTCTGATGCAGCCGCAGAAAAGTTTCAGATGAGAACACCCACCAGGACGTCAGCACAGACCTAGGTATTTAAATGGAGGCGCTCACCGGTTGTTGATATCACTTGTGGTGTTTTTAAGCAGGCAGATCATTTGTGAGTATTCTAGCGAGGGGCACCGTGACGAAGTTTTACGAACCAGCCTCTTTTTTCTCTTCCTAAGCTCCTTTTTTCTAAGCTGGATTTATTTTCAAGTTCATTAAGGATTGAAACCAAATACAGAATTAATTCTGGGAGGGGCCACGCTGGTACTTCATTGTGGAGCGATGGTTGGTACCAGTGAGCAAGAGTAGATGTCAGTGCCCCTCCCGTTTGTGTTAGAGTCGGTTACCCCGAGCTGTGCTGGGAGATGATCTGTGGGGACCCGGGAAGCGGGGGGACTCAGCTCTGGAGGGTCAGCACCAGGATGCCCGAGTTGTCATCCCCCTTGGCCCCTGCCGGGCTGTCTGACCCAGGGCCCTGGCATCCCTGGGCCTGCACCCCTCTCACCTCCACACCCCTACGAGCTCTGTTGCTGGGAACTCCTCTCGCCTCTTCCCTGTCAGTCACCTCTGTAGACAGTGACCCACTTCGTGATGTGTGTTGGAAATTCACAGTTTCAGTATTGCACGGTGAAATTCCCATTGCAGCGGGTAGTATATTTAAAAGCTGTCCATCTCCTTAAAAAATGGTTTAATGCCTTGAGAAACTTTTAGATGTGTGCTCCTTAAAAATTCTAACTTATTTCTTCCCCAGATGTGGACCTTTACCCTCTCCCTAAAAAGATCAAGACCAGACGCAAGAAAGTATGTGTGAAGAATGATTTGAATTTGGAAGGCTTGTGTTGTGGTTGACTACCTTTGGATAAGCAAAACTCGAAACCATTTAAAGACCACTGTATTCTAACTCAACAATACCTGATTACCAATTACTCATTTCCTCAGATAAGAAGAAATCGTCTCTACAATGTAGACAGTGTTATATTTCATAGAATTTTATTTTAAATTGAGGAAGCAGTTAATTGTGCTCTTGTGTTTTACAGATGACGGTGATTCAAATTCTACTTATTGGCATTTTCTTCTCTTTTTATAACCTTAAAAATTCAATTATTTTTCTCTTTGTGAGGGATGACAGGGCACTTATAAGAGGAAAAACGTTTTGGGAAGGGTGACAACATCCCGTGGGAGTGAGAACAGTTTCATTTATCATTGCTTATCCAGTAGTGGAAAAGTCATTTGATGGCCTCTTTTTTTGGCTAAATGATCATTAAGCCAGTGGCCCCAGACTGTCAGAAGTCGACTCTCTACCTTTGCATTGCCATTAAAAAATCATGGGAAAAAAGAATCATGGAAACTTGGGAGGAAAGGTGTGTTTTCTTCTTAGCGGATCGCCAGTTACCATTCAGCCTGTTGGCTGAGAAGGAGGTGGTGGGAAAATGTTTGTCATGTTTTCTTTTCGTTTGAGTCATCGTCTTGTATTTAGAAAAAGCGCATCTGTGGATAACCAACCAGTGTCGTGGTTATCGATTGTTGGTGACAAACCACCCCAAAATGCAGTGGCTGAAACCATACTTCTTTTGTTTGCCTCCTCCCTGTTCTTCTTCAATCTGGGCTGGGCTCAGCTGAGCTGTTCCTGTCCTCTCGCTGGTGTTGCCCGTGTGGTCAGCTGGTCGCCCAAAGACACTGGGATGGCTGGGCTTCTTTCTGCAGGTCCCCAGGCCTCTCCTCCATGCGATGGCTCCAAGGGGCCCCGCCAGCAGGGTAGCTGGACCGCTTACATGGCAGCTCAGAGCTCCCAAGGGTATCAAGCAGCAATGGCCAGGCCTTCTTAAGACTTAAACCCAGAACTTCTACTGCCCTCTATTGATTAAAGCATCACAGGCCCAGCCCAGATTCAGGAAGGGGGGATGGCACGAGGGCATGAGGCAGAGGTGTGATTCACGGGGGGCCCCCCAGAGTAATAGGCTGTCAGAACCAGTTTCACAGGAAAACAGCAATTGTTAGCAAAAGTAGAAGCTGCTGGTGACGTTGGGAAATGGAAGCTGCTTCTAATAGCTGGTGTAAGCTGGAAGTCAAACTGAGAAATAGAGGGCCTTCTAGAAGCTTCCTGAACCACTTCTGCTGGCTCTGAGCATATTTTCTGAGCCATCACTTGGGGAAACTGGTCTCGTAAGGATGGATGTGTTGAGGGGGCAGAGCATCTGAAAGCAGAACTACCCTGTCCCGGGGCCCCCCGCAGAGGGCAGTGCTTCCTCCCTGCCCGTGGTTTCAGGCAGGCTGCAGCCCAGAGGGGGTGCTCCTCATGAGGCCTTGCCTCAGACTGAATTAGCAGTAGTTCATTTTGGTTCTAATCAAGCAGTAAGATTTGCTACCGTTCTACCTGAAGTGCCTTCTCCAAAGACATCCTCTTTGCCCTGTGCGTGGAATCAGCCTTCAGTGAGTATGTTTCAATGGAAGTGTCATTGGTTGACTTTGTAAAGATAATAAAATGCCACGGTGACTTGGCCATAAGGTTACGGTCTCCTCACGCAGATTCTTCTGGCTTTGGCTCCCGATCCAGCCCCGGTAGTACTTCTGTTCTGAGGTCTTTACCTCCCGTGAAACCTTGAGGTAGTTTGGGGACTGCCTTCGCTGCCATTTTCACAGATAAAATGCACATTGACCCCCCCTCCACCCCCCTATTGAGCCTAGAATGGCTTTAGAACGCAGGTGTGGCCCAGAGGTAATTACCTTCTAAGGTAATTACCTTCTAATTCTAAGGGGAATGTCAATAACTGCTGTCTTCTTGTCAAGCTTGTAAAGAAAGAGATTCCAGTTCAGTATGTGCAACAACGATCTTGAATCCTGTTCTTTTTATTGCATTGTCACATTGAAATTTTCTAGTTTGCCTTGATTTTGTGGTACAGTTGAGACTCTGGACTTTGGGGGCCAAGTCTTTCACCAGCATACAAGGGTTTGATTGTACAAATATATCTGCTGCATTAACGTCTCCGCCTGTAGCTTAAGATCAAGTTGTTTTGTGCTTGGAACAGAAACGCCTGATCTCGGCTAGCTTTGTTTGTTACAGGACATTGATTTCATTTAGATTTCCCTCCACGAAGTCAGCAAACTATCATGTTATGTAAACTTCTGCCAAGACAAGATTGTAGTAGTCCCGAGGTTGTTGAGGTTTGTCGTGTGTCTGGTGAAAAGGGGATTGCAGGTTCTCAGATGAGATTGCTCTCCCCGAGTTGGAGTCAGGGAGAGAGGCCGTGAAGATGTGGGGAGCTGGAGGTGCAGGTGTTAAAAAGTAGTGGAAATGAAAGTTCGAAAGAGGTGGTTTGTGAGGAGGTCAGAGGGCGCGGGGCCAGCGCAGTCAGAACTTGAGTAGGTTGAATCAGGTTACCTGGCAAGTAGGTGTGATAGATACAGGGATGCAGGCTGCTCCCGGGTTGCTGGTAGACATTAAATTTGCACAATATCCCGTAGCTGGTTGAGTATTTTAAAATGATAAGCATAGGGTTTTATATTTGGGGTGAAGAAATTATCTGACACATGGTATTGGGGTTTTTTTAAAACAAATTTCAGAGTCTTAAGAGCTTTTTTTTAAAAATAAATAAATAAATAAAAAAGACACCTCACCTCCAGTGTGTGACCCTCCTGAAAATCACGGACCTCTCTCCCATTGAATCAGTGACTTTTCAGATGTGGCTAAATGGGGATGAGAAAATTGCCGTATGACTTTCTTGGTGTTTGTACTTTCTTTATGGAGCCTAGTTGCTTTGGAACAGCCAAGAAGATTATCAAGATTATTTTTAGGGGCTATTTTACTGGGGATCTGAAGAACTAATATGACATCCTGGGTTATTTCTAGTTCGGGGGGAATGTGGAAAGAGTATGCAATTGTGAAGTGTTTTGTTGTAGCTTATTAATCCATAAGGGGAACTTAGACTGTAGACATAAGGACACACCCAGTACAGTTTCTGTTTTCTGTATGTTGTTGGCGCAATAAAGTTTTATATAGCAAGCACATGGCCTCCCTGATTTCAAGATGCCTTTATTAGGATCTGTATTAGCCCTTAATGTTGTTGAAACCTTTCTCCCTCTTCCTCTTGAAAAATAAGTTCCAAAATACAGTTTATTGTATCTTCCATCATTGAAAAGTTTGTTCTTTTTTCACTATGGGCAGTTCACACAAGGCAAAAATATTAAACAGTTGGTTTTAGTGTGTTGTATAACTTTACTGTATATCAAACTAATTTCTACAAGTTTTCATCCTAAACCTCAAATCATGTAATTAATAATTTGCCTGTTTATTTATGACATAATTGTGATTCTTTTATTAATAAAAGCTAACGGAAAAGGATCCTTTATTAAGCTGATGACTAGACCTACATTTAATTTTCCTGCATTATATGAAGTATTGTACCAGAGTATTAAAAGATATGTAATATTTTATTGATAAATCTATCCTTTAAAAGGAATACATTTTAGGATGTCATCATTTTGATGTGAATCATGTAAATGTTGATAATATGCACTGTTTATTATACATTTAGTGTTTCAAGACATTCACTTAATTGCCTTTTTGCCCACGTATTATGTAGTCTGTTTGCAATTGTTTTTAAAAAATGACATGAAAAGAATAGTTTATGTAGAGAAACATTAGTGGATGTTAATTGTCTCCCCACCTGTATTTATGGGTGTTAGTTCAACTGCGTTGCTAGTTGCAAAGCCGTATTATCAGAGTAAACGTGTATTTGTAAACTGTATGGGAACTAAGAATTAGGAATAAAACCATTTTCTTATATTATGGTATTGGTCATTTACGTCATTGGAAATGTCCAGGAAAAACTGGGATTATAGGTCACTCAACCTCTTATACCGGCCAAATGCTGACATTTAGCAGCTCTTATCTAGAGGATAACTCGGAATACAGAATACATGCGTCAGTTCCTCAAGCATTTATTGAGCACCCACTCAATGAATAGCTTCGGGAGGCAGGGGATTCAATTTGCAAGAACTTAGGAGTAACGAATAGAAAGTATGTCTGTAAAACATACAGGAAATGATCAGGAAACATACAAACTGAATGTAAATGGTGCCAGGTGGGGATGTGGAGAGCAGATGACAGAGGAGGCTCGTAGGAGTAAATTGTATACCACAGGACACCAGCTTGTCCCTTGAGAATAGATTTAGGCCACAAGCAAACAAGGCCATTTGCTGCTTCTGACAGCACTGCATGAACATTGGCAGAAAGAAATCATTTTATAAGAAACAAAACAGGTAGTTCTCAGTTCTCTGCTGTAAATCTAAGGAGAGATTCGTATTACTCATTTACACTGTGAAACACTATTGTCCTCTCGGTCTCAACCGAGTTACTTAACGCCTATCAGTCAGATTCAGCTGGTTTTGGTGGTGAGACCAGTCCTCTAGCCATTCACAAAATAGGGAGCCCCTGGGCAATGCCAGACGCCTCCCGTGTGCTAGACTCGGGCCAAGCGGTGACTGAGACAGACATGGTGGCCACCCTCCCAGGGGTGACATTCTAGTGGGAGCTGGGCCTCGCACGAGTCAGAAGGCAGAAATGCTAACGGGTACAGTCAGTGCTTGAAGATGCAGGCTGCCCAGACAGCAGGAAAGACAGAGATGAGACAACTCCTTCCAAACGATGAGGATTAGGAGGAGGGGCTCTGTGCTACCGTGGTGGTGACCCTCTGGGGTTCCAGAGGAGGTGTTGGGTGCGCCGGCGGCCTGGAGACGCCTCATCCCCCGTAATCCTTCCTGAGATCCTGAGAAGGCAGTGACGATATCTTGTCCTGAAAGAGCCTTCTAGTTCTACAGTTCCTACTCACAAGAAAAACCCCCAAGAAAATGTGCAGATTAGAGACAAAGCCGGAATTCCCGTAACAAATCAATTGTGGACAGAGAACTGAGGGTTTATTTGACTCGGTCATCTTGTCAGTGAAAAGCTTCTGAAGAAAGTACCTGCTCACTGTTGGATCCCATTACATGTATGCTTTGCCTCCAGCCATTTGCTTGTGCTCTGTGAGAGGCCGCACAAAGGGACTGGCAGGACCTCGAGCGAATGGTTTCACTGCAGGTGCCGTTCCGCCCCCCCCCCCCAGGACCCAGCTACGCTTCCAAATAACTGAATTTGCAAAATGATAATGAGTCCAAAATAGAGATTTGCTGTTTTATCAATAGCAGCAGTTACCAATGAGCTGATACTCATGTCATTTGAGGTCAGATGATTTAAATCCCGAAGTGACATCATGATAGAAAATATCGCTCCTAAAATAAAGGTTGTGAGAAAGTGATATTGCCCTGTAAAACCCGCCGGCAGCGTATGGACAAAGAGATTGCACGTGCTCCTCAGACTTGAAGTCCTCTCTACCTGATCAGACTGTAGAGTTATACCGGACCGGCAGGGATTTGGGGGTCAGATTCTCTTCCATTCAGCAAAGATGAAATCCACCCCGCCAAGGTGCTAGGCACTGAGAAATGGATGAACAAAACAGTTCCTGCTTTCGAGGCACTGGGTGTAGCCGGGGAGGCAGATAGTTCTTTTTTTAAAAAATATTTTTTTAATTTATTTATTTGTCAGAGCAAGAGCACAAGCAGGGGGAGTGGGAGAGGGAGAAGCAGGCTCCCTGAGGAGCAGGGGGCCCGATGTAGGACTCTATCCCAGGACCCTGGGATCATGACCTGAGCTGAAGGCAGATGCTTAAGCGACTGAGCCACCCAGGCGCCCCTGAGGTAGATAGTTCTAACTGGACTGGAGTAGTCAGTATTCGGGGTGTTAATGTCAAGTGAATGTCAAATGAATACATAGAGGAATGAATTAGGGGGCAGTTAGAATTCAGTCGTGGGGGTCGCCTGAGCTTTCTTCCTGACCAGTGGGGAACCTCTGTGTGTGTGTGTATCTCTTTCTAAAAATGAACGTGCAAGACAATAGCTGTTTCTCTGTTCAACTCTTGCATCTCTACCACTGAACAAAGAATAATTATCGTGATCCATATGGATGGCTTTCTAGAACTTTAGGGACACATTTTTGCAACGAAATGGAGTACATTTTTACATATTTTAGTGTTTCCAGTCTCTGTGTATCTATCCACTGCATTTTTAACTGTTCAGTTCTTGTCTAAATTCACTATTTTGGGTCATCTAGGCCAGTTTTGCTAGGACTTCCTTGTGTAATTTAGAGTGTACACTATGGTTTGGAATGAGCCATTTAATTCTGAATATAATCATCACCAACATCACATTTTTTAAGGGAAAAATCAAAATTCATGTCATAGAGGCAAAGGATTTTTTTTTCCTGCGTCGTGTTTTCATAGAAACTCACAAAGCAAAGTTAAATTGCAATTTAGTTGGGGTGCCTGGCTGGCTCAGTCTGAGAAACATGTGACTCTTGATCTCGGGGATCGTGAGATTGAGCCCCATGTTCGGTGTGGAGATTACTTAAATAAATAAAAAACTTTAAAAAATTGCCATTTAGTTTTACAATTAATAAAATTCCTTTATTAAGAATGATAACATTATGGGGCGCCTGGGGTGGTGTGGTCGGTTGAGCATCGGACTCTTGGTTTTGCCTTTGGTCATGTTCTCAGGATCGTGAGATCCAGCCCTGTGTCCAGCTCCGAGGTCAGCGCAGAGTCTGCTGGAGAGTCTCTTTCTCCCTCTGCCCCTCCTGCTTCTGCTGTCTCTCTAATAAATAAATAAATCTTAAAAATGCTTGTTTTGTTTTCAAACTATTTCTATTGTAGTAAAATACACAAAACATAAAATTCACCGTTTTAACCATTTTGTTCACACTGTTGTATGACTGTGACCACCGTCCATCTCCAGAACCATATCATCATCCCAACCAAAACTCTGCACCCATTCACCAACATGGCTTTGTTCTTAAAGTGTTCCTCTCCTGAGGCTTAAGGCTCTTCTGAATTTTGGAATTTTGCGTATTTTTTGAATCGATAATACATTCACTTAGAACAAATCGTCGAAGTTTCAGTAGGGCACACAGGGAAAGATCTCTCCACGTCTTACCTAGCACGAAGAGTTTCCCATCATACCCCGAGGACGGGGAGCAACTTCGAACACATGTCCCTCGGTAAAGGTGCTGGTTGCTGGGGTCTTACACTTCTTAGGTAATGCTCAATCGTCCCCCAGTGAGGGTGTACCTGCTTTATCCCTGGCAGCCTGTTGCCTCACACCTTTATCCGCTTGGCATGTTGTCAGACCCGCACCTTGTCTGTCCGACGGGTAAAAAAATCATGGCTCGATGTAACTCCGTTTGCATTTCTCACAAAAGTGAGGCTGAGCATTTTTAGGCCTTTCTGTGAACTCTTCATGTCGCTTGACATTTTTTTTTTTTTTTCTATTGGGTTCTGGATCTGTCTTGTTTTGAGTTTAGGAATAAAGCTATATTTTTCTAATTTTATTTTTTCCCCACCTCCGGGGGGAATAAAGATGTTTAATTCTCTACAACTGACTGAGGTGACTGGAATTACTGAGTCACCAGGATCTGTTTCTGTAAACTCTTCTGTAGGTGTGTGTGGGATACACCTGTCTGGGCTGGGAGTTGTGGTTTTGGCCTTGCTTGTGATTATAATTCTCAGGGGGGAATGAGGAGACCAGCCCGGGAAACACGTTCTCAGCACCGCCGGTGATGCTGGATCTCTACATCAGCGGTCACGTGAGACCGGTCTTAATTATCCCGGCCACTGGGTTGAGAATGACTTCAGATTTTCTTTCAGATTCAAAAGTGCCGAACAGTATGCATGCAAGCATGCATCCATTCAACTGCTTATTAATGAGTACAGTGAGTCAGGCATTGGGTGCTGGGGGGAATACAAAACAGGTGTCTGTCTTAATCCATGGCTTAAAGGACTTTATGGCCCATTCAAGGGAAGGAGACACACACAGGCTGAATACAAGATGGAAAGTAGAACAGCTATGGGCGAGGCCTGGCTCAAGACTAAGGGGCTAGAAGGACATGCCCACGCTACCCCTCATTCACTAAGGGACAGTTACGTGTCAGCCACTATTGGAAGGTTTGGACAGATTATTTCTTACCTGTAAGGTAGGTACCCTCCCCCGTCTATGTTGCTCGCTGCCGTGTGTCCGGTGCTTGGCACCTGCACGCACCTGTCGCTCAGTAGTTCAAGATCTGTGTGGAGAGCAGTGTCACCACCACCCAGTTGCTGAGGCCAGAAACATGGGACTCGCCCTCAACTCCTTGAGCCTCACATTCCACCCTCGGCTTGTCCAACCCACCAGCCGGTTTTGTCCTTCCAAAATCTATACTCCGTCGCTTCTCCCTATCTCTACTACCGCCACCCTCATCTAGCCACAGGCACTTGTGAAGGTCAGGGAGATAGGGCAACAGTGTTCTTGGAACCTGGAAAGATCTTAAGTGGCCTCTCCGTTTCCAATCATGCTCCACTATTGCCTTTCACCCCACAGAGGGGTCTGTTAAACACGCACATCGGATTCCAACAGTCCTCTGCTCTCCAGTGGCTTCCCGTCATGGTCAGAATCAAATTCCAATTCCTTACTGGGCTTCTGGAGTGGACAGAACTTCCCTGCATGGGACTCTCCTCCATATCTTATTATTTATTTATTTATTTATTAAGATTTTATTTATTTGAGAGAGGGAGCAAGTGAGAGAGAGAAAGCGCACAAGCAGGGGGAGAGGGAGAAGCAGACTCCCTCTGGGGTGTCGAGCAGGGAGCCTGATGCTGGGCTTGATCCCAGGACCCTGGGATCATGACTTCAGCTGAAGGCAGACACTTAACTGACTGAGCCACC